CGAGGGTAACTATTGTTGTTCTGTAATTCTGTGAGTCGAGGGTAACTATTGTTGGCTCTTCAATAACTGATAATAAGCGGTGATTTGTGAATGACTATTTACAAATTGCTCATTGTCGTTCACATTTCTGACTTGTGCTTTTTATGTGTGACTGTGTCACAAGGTGTACAGTGAGGGAAAAAAGTATTTGATCCCCTGCTGATTTTGTACGTTTGCCCACTGACAAAGAAATGATCAGTCTATAATTTTAATGGTAGGTTTAATTGAACAGTGAGAGACAGAATAACAACAAAATCCAGAAAAACGCATGTCAAAAATGTTATAAATTAATTTGCATTTTAATTAGGGAAATACGTATTTGACCCCCTCTCAATCAGAAAGATTTCTGGCTCCCAGATGTCTTTTATCAGGTAACGACCTGAGATTAGGAGCACATTCTTAAAGGGAGTGCTCCTAATCTCAGCTTGTTACCTGTATAAAAGACACCTGTCCACAGAAGCAATCGATCAATCAGATTCCAAACTCTCCACCATGGCCAAGACCAAAGAGCTCTCCAAGGATGTCAGGGACAACATTGTAGACCTACACAAGGCTGGAATGGGCTACAAGACCATTGCCAAGCAGCTTGGTGAGAAGGTAACAACAGTTGGTGCGATTATTCGCAAATGGAAGAAACACAAATGAACTGTCAATCTCCCTCAGCCTGGGGCTCCATGCAAGATCTCACCTCGTGGAGTTGCAATGATCATGAGAACGGTGAGGAATCAGCCCAGAACTACACGGGAGGATCTTGTCAATGATCTCAAGGCAGCTGGGACCATAGTCACCAAGAAAACAATTGGTAACGCACTACGCCGTGAAGGACTGAAATCCTGCAGCGCCCGCAAGGCCCCCCTGCTCAAGAAAGCACATATACATGCCCGACTGAAGTTTGCCAATGAACATTTGAATGATTCAGAGGACAACTTGGTGAAAGTGCTGTGGTCAGATGAGACCAAAATGGAGCTCTTTGGCATCAACTCAACTCGCCGTTTTTTGAGGAATAGGAATGCTGCCTATGACCCCAAGAACACCATCCCCACCGTCAAACATGGAGGTGGAAACATTATGCTTTAGGGGTGTTTTTCTGCTAAGGGGACAGGACAACTTCACCGCATCAAAGGGACGATGGACGGGGCCATGTACCGTCAAATCTTGGGTGAGAACCTCCTTCCCTCAGCCAGGGCATTGAAAATGGGTCGTGGATGGGTATTCCAGCATTACAATAACCCAAAACACACGGTCAAGGCAGCAAAGGAGTGGCTCAAGAATAAGCACATTAAGGTCCTGGAGTGGCCTAGCCAGTCTCCAGACCTTAATCCCATAGAAAATCTGTGGAGGGAGCTGAAGGTTCGAGTTGCCAAATGTCAGCCTCGAAACCTTAATGACTTGGAGAAGATCTGCAAAGAGGAGTGGGACAAAGTCCCTCCTGCGATGTGTACAAACCTGGTGGCCAACTACAAGAAACGTCTGACCTCTGTGATTACCAACAAGGGTTTTGCCACCAAGTACTAAGTCATGTTTTGCAGAGGGGTCAAATACTTATTTCCCTCATTAAAATGCAAATCAATTTATAACATTTTTGACATGCGTTTTTCCGGAATTTTTTGTTGTTATTCTGTCTCTCACTGTTCAATTAAACCTTCCATTAAAATTATAGACTGTTCATTTCTTTGTCAGTGGGCAAACGTACAAAATCAGCAGGGGATCAAATACTTTTTTCCCTCACTCTATATGCCACTAACCAGCGATATTGACGCCCTCACAATAAATTAATTACCAGATCAAACATTCGTCATTTAAAATCTAACCTATGAAAGGCACTTTTTTGTCTGTCTGTCCGTCCGTCCGTCTGCGCACGCACGCTTGCGGGGGATTTGGCTCTCAGACGGTGGGGTTTATGTCGAAAAAAAATTGCCGGGCGACACGCCCCAAGCCCCGCTGTGGGAATAGGCTATTCCGTTTTCCCATCCCTAAACTTTAAAGTAGTTAAATCGCGTTTTTTGTGCGATTTGTCTTTATTTAGTTTCACCATTACTTATTTATTTCCCTTCACCGCTCGGGGGCGGGACAACACAGCAATCTGCGCGTGCGCACAACGCTCATCACGGTTAGCCCCGAGCAACCCACACGCGCCATCGCCGCAGGTGCGCGGCCTTTTTTTATACACCTGGACACTCTACAAGGTAAGTTGCAAGCATTAGTATTATAAGCATTTGTAACATTACACTTTGCACTGCTGACAGGGGTTGCCCCTAGCGACGCACACACGATCGGCACAAATTTTCATTCGCGTTAAACATGCAACTAAAACACACAAAACGCTGAGGTTATTTCTTCACAGTGTGATGTCCTCTTCTCCCCACCCCACCCCAATGCGTCCTGTTACTACTACTATAGAGCCCCTAGATATTATTACCGCGCTTAGATAGTATTATTGTAGCGCGGCCGGGGGGAGCGGCCCAGCCGCCAGCCTGCCAAGGTGACACCTCGCGCTCTAGGCGAGGACGGGGGCTCTGCACGGGACTAGGCCTCACCACGGCAATGTTAGGTACCATTTCCTTGCTTCTTTTCCTAACCTCACCTTGATATAAACCCAGCTTTTTAATAATCACCTTGCTAATATTATATTAACTGTGTTTGTGTGCAGACTACTATTTTTGTTTGCCCGCTCACAACTAATCTTTTAACAATCACTTTGTCATTATTATACTCATTTCTCAACTCACCTTCATAGAAAACTGTTTTCTATAATCACCTTGATAATATTACATTAGTACTGTTTGTGTGCAAACAACTAACTTTTTCTCTTCCTTGCTTCTTTCACTAAACTCACATATAATCCTGTTATTTTAATAATCTCCTTCAAAATATTAAAAACCTACATTTTTGCGTGCTCACAAACTAATATTCTTTCAATACCTTGGTCATTATTAATATTAGTATTATTGTGTCAACTAATGTTGACAGAAACCTGCATTTTAAAGAATAACCTTGCAAATATTACATTAATAATGTTTGTGTGCTGACAACTAAGATTTCAAAATTTACTTGGTCAATTTTGATATATTTTTGTATTGTGTCTAAGCCCTTGTGTGCGTGTGAGTCCATGTGCGTGTCTTCCACCATGTGTGTGTCTACGTCCGTGTGTGTGTATCAGTCGATGTGTGTGCGACTCGATGTGTGTGTGCATGAGTTTTTATCTGTGTGTCAGTCGCTGTGTGTGTGTTAGTCAATGTATGTGCGTGGTGTGTGTGTGTATACACAACTAATATTTAACAATTAAGTTACTTCAATTTTAAATAATTATGTGTGTGTCTGCCTTGTTATGTGTGAGTCGAAGTAGCTGTGTGTGTGTGAGTCCATGTGTGTGTGTCAGTGAGATTTTACAATTAAAATAGTACACTTCTTAATATTTACGTCTGCCTAAGTACATGTGTGCATGTCAGTCGATGTGTCTGTGAGTCGATGTGTGTGTGTGTGTGGCTCCATGTGAGCGTCTTAGTCCATTTCTTTGTGTGTGTGCGTGTAGGTGCTTGTGTGTGTTAGCCCATGTGTGTGTGTAACTCCATGTGTGTGTATCTAAAGTCGATGTCTGTGTGTGTGAGTCCATATGTGTGTGTGTGTATGTGTAAGTCGATGTCTTTGTGTGTGTGGGTCAATGTCTGTAAGTGTGTGTAGGTCGATGTGTGTGTCTGATTTTTCGCCTGGGCAATGCCGGGTACTTCCCTCTAGTACTTTATAATTGGATCAAAATTGATATCGCTTGAAAATTCTCATTTTCTCTAAAATTCATGTGGCAGCAGATATTGTAGTATCATAATATTCTGAAACATCAATACGCTTTAAAAAAAATGTATTTAAGGGACTGCAACGACAGTCATGTACAGCCACGCACCGTTGCCAATTTGCTCGCTGTGATTTAGCTTTCTATTTGTGCGGCAGTGTTAATGCCAAATATGGTAAAACATTTTTTTACAAATATTATTCACAAGCAGAGATGGGATTGAGGCAAACTCTGCAGTATGCATAATGAATGGCATACATGCTAACAGTTTTAATTTACGGCCACAACAGTGGTACATCAATTAGCAAGCTTAGCATTCGAAAATGAAAACAACTAATTGCAGTTTTTGTTTTCTGTAAAATTGAAAGGTGACTCATGCATAGATGCCATTGTGATCATGCATACAGAGAAACAAACCTGTAAAAATGTGTGCTCTCTTGTAAATTTGGAAAGCATCCCAAGCGATAATTACATTGTAAATTTGCTGCAAACCACCATGAAAAAGTCATGCATGAATACATTGACCTAAAAAATGATAAATTACCGGAGCAAGAGGTAAAGTAATGTCAAGTATGGTATTCAACCAATGAGCAGATACAAATTAAATGTAATAATATTTCAACTTCTGAGTTGTTCAAGGGCTCCGAATAAATGTTGGCAATAAGGATCAAAGTTCACTCACAAAAATGCATTCGGTATCGTGAAAAAGGCACCTTTTAAAAAAAAACAGAATGTGTAGCCCCCCACCCCCCACATACCATTATTAATTGAACCCTGAGGAAATTGGACAGCTGAGCATTTTTCAAGATGGGTTTGGGAGTTGAGCGTGTGCACCCTTGACCTCGGCGAGACAAGTGTTCTTTTCGCCATGTGCAGGCCCTTCTGCCCTAAAATGTGCCCTTGTAATCGGCTTGCTGAAGCCTCCTACAATCCCTCTCAAATTGTTAATAACATGGCACGATCCTCCGTTCAACAATGCTATGCAAAGAGTCTCTTAAGCCCAGTGGATAATCTTGAGGGCGCATGCTTGGTATATCCCTTAGTCCCGGGCTTAAAAGGAAATTGGCTCCTCAAAGGGGATCACGTTGGCTCCAAGGAAGCATAGGTCAACTGGTCAGTCGGTGTTCATCTACGCGTTTCAGTGACACTTTAGGAAACATCTGGGACTGTCTCCGACCGGTCATCAATGACTGGACACAAATACAATAAAGCCATTGCATTCTATTTGATTCTACACATCGTTTGGCTAAGTTCCAGCTCTTAGGATCAAATATCAGTTGAGCTGTCGTGTCATGAACATTGTAGTCGTATGCAGAGAGGTTGGGGAAAGTGCTGACCCCTTCCGTGTCGACCGGAAGTCCCTTGAAGGGATCTCCAGGGTTGCTCCGGTATCCGCTTGCCGTGGGCTGTTCTCCAACAGTGTGGGTCATACTGCTATGCGAGTTAGATACGAATCGATGCCTTGTCTCATGATGCGAGGCCTGAAGCACAATTAGTATACAATTGAGGGGGAATACAACAAATATGAGAAACATTCTTTTTAAAAAATTATACAATCCGCAATCAGGATCCACCACATTCGTCATTCAATTTGCCGTATATAATGGGGGGGGGGGGGAATGGTTTCCCAAAGTTAATAAATGGTTATCGAAAAAATATTACATTTTGTTGTTTTTTCAAGCTTTCTAAAATGTCCCAGTGTTTCTCCCACAGTCTACAGTGTGGTCTCCAACCACACGCCAGTCAATCTCTTGAAACGTTAGCCTACTCTATATTTTCCTGCTCTGGGGTAGTGTTTGGGGAAACAAATTAGGTGAACGATTTTATGAGTTGTGGCAGTGCACTGCTGCTGATGCTGCACTGCACTGCAAAGGGAACAGGTGGAAATGGCGTTCTAGCCTTCCCAACTAAACTCGCTATACCACGTTTTTACTTTACCAGGTAAGACCCATTGAGCTATACGTCCATGGCTATGTTTCAGAAGCGACCTGACCACAAATGGTAGCTCAACAAAGCGGCTTATCATCACGTGGAAATCTATAGCAGCCAACTATTTATCTTACAGCTTGTCGAAAATGTTTTCACAAGTGGTAAACATTTTTTTTTTTTACAAATAAAGCCATAATACATGCATTTTTTTTATTATAACCCTCTATCGATAAGCTGCTAGATGAAAGCATCCCTATGCTGTCGCCAGCCATGGGGCATTGTCCATACTTCACCACGACGGGCAGTGCCGGTTGGTGTTGGGGGCACCCAAGGCCAGTTCTTTTTCAGCAAACGTGGCTGGAATGAAACTCGGCTTTCTGGGTTCAGAGGACAATGATTTACCCACTGTACCACTATACAACCATCCAACCCCTCTCGCTTTACTCATTACCATACGGTGCACAATAATTGATTTTAAAGATTTATCTTACAGTCTTACAGACATTTTCCTGTTCAATAATGCATACAGGTTTTACATTTTTTTTTAATTTTGCTAATGGTACAATCACATTCCGCTCATTTTGTTAGACATTGTTTTATTTAAATGTGTTATAGTTCTTTATTATGAATTTTAAAAAAATAGGAATACTTTACTTCAAGAAACTTTTCATTCTATTGTACAATTATATTACCGTACATATTCAATTGCTGTTACTGCCCCTGGGGCGAGTGTAGTAGTGGTGGTGGTGGAGGCCCAGCGGTTCATTTCTGTCGTGCTGTGAACTCGGCGACCTGGATTTACTAGGCTCCGAGGCACGGCTAACATCAGTGGCAACCTAGAACTCTCTAAAAACGTTCCTTGCCCCCCCCCCCACCTTCACGCAAGCAGCAACTCACCCGTTGTGGTGACAGTTTTTTACACACAGCTTCTGAGCACAAGCCACCGAAGGTCCAACATGTCACAGACAGCGCTCTCGAGAGCTGTAATAGAGAAGAGTTCGTACGGTTCTTGAATGGAGCCAAGGTTATTATGAGAGCTCGGGGGGGAAGAAAGAGATGGGATGAGGGAATTCCCAAGCGGGGCAGTGCGAGGGAAAACGTGCGGTGTGTCGGGTGAGTTGCGCGAGTGTGTTGGCGTGACCTACGGTGTGTTGGTTGAACACAGTACCGAATGGATGAGATGAAATTAGCCAGTTATACAAACTCCTCAACAAGGGGGCGGGGACCCACGAGTGAAGCCAACAGGAACAGTAACCGTGGTAATAGCGACAGAAGAGTAAAAGGGAACGGGTGGCTAACCACCTGTGAGCAACTGACTGGGGAGAATCAGTGAGTTGCTTGATGATCATCAATCACCTCGACTGCTTCACGTGGAATTCCATCACGTGCGGTGAGGGAGGAACTGGGTCATCCACCCCAGATAAAACGGCGGTGGTCCAACCTCGGATGAATTTGTGCTCTTGCATCACAGTAAGAATTGTTCAGAGTGAGCGATAGTAAATAGCAATAGCGCATTCACACAAGCCTAGGGACACCAGCAGGACAAAGCCTCTAAGGTTAAACATTGCCATTGCATTATTTTGGTCATTGCCTTTTATTCATGAAATGATATATTTTTCTTTGTTGTTTTGTTGGTTCATTTATTTCCTCAACACTTTTAAGCGTCTTTTGTGATGTGCGTTTTACAATAAATGTCAAACCATTCATCAGAGTCAATCAATAGTGGGTTTTTGGGAAAGGTTACAATTCTATATTATAGTTTAGTGAGGTCGCAGTGAATGGTTTCCTTTCTGTCATTAATGGTACTTTATGTTGAAGGTTTAAGAAATCAATTTTGCTTGCAATTTCATACCGTTTATCTGCAATATGACTCTGGAAAACATGTCACCCTGACCACTAATTATTATTTTTGGTGTGTGAAGACAACAGTTTTCATAGATAATAAATGCCACTTTTTAGACGATGAAAAATGCCCTGTTGAGCTGCAGTGGAGACAGTTTCTTAAAGTTATCTGTGGGCACGTCAACACAAGGTCCCTATGGGCAGTGAACTGCAACTGCCGGTGTTATTTCATACACAGCCCAATCACGAATGAAATATATCTCATATATGCTTCAAGTTAAAAGCAATAAAATCACCGTTCATATGGGAGACCCCTACGTGGTGTTTGTACTCGAATCCCCAACCCACGATTCCTTCAACGTGTGACCAAATTGAACTGTCGTAAATACCACACAAGATAAATATGGGACGATAAATTAGTGGTTTGTATTTGTACAATAGAACTTTCTGAAGTGTACAGCAGTTATTAAACGCCCTTGGCTTTGCGCTATGTTCTTGACTATGCACCTCGATACAATTTAGCTAAAGAGATACTGCACAAGAGAAAATCTGCATTGTATAGCATTAAACTGTTTTCATTTAAAAATGAATACCTTTAAATTGATTGGGGGCGATGTAACGGTTAGCAGACTGCACTGTGAATCCAGTAAGCTCTAAGTAAAATCCCCCATCACAGCGAACATCAGTGGCGAGTGATATCCACATTGACCATCATGGTGACGTGTGGTCAAAAAACCCCGCTGATCAACACAGCCTGGAGAGGTTTTCTTAAAGCATTGCATTTTAAAAGGTTTACATTGTTTCGTAGTATTGTCCAGTATCGTTTTAATTATAAAGCAAGCAAACTCTGCGATGGTCTCCATCCTTCTGGGCCTCATCAGCATGCGTCACGTACTGCTTTTGGGTGCAGGGACACAAACTCAGGAATGTGAAGATTCGCTTATTCCAATTAGATATAATTAAGCGACTTCCTAGGCTTTAACGTGCTGTGAAACATGTTTTAACGAGTAGACAGTTTAATCCTAAACATAATAAGCTATCATGAGAATAGGTTTTCCTCTTTTTGCTGGCAACAAAACAGGTGTTAAGATGTTAAAACACCAAATTGAAACCTTTTACAATGAAGCATGTCTGCATTAACCACAATACTTGTGGTCAGAATGCAAACAAAAAACATACTCTGATAATATATGCATTGTCCTTGAAACCGAATGGTCCACATCAGAGACAGTTTTCTTTGGAGCCTAGTCTCAAGGTGTTAGACGAGACGCCAAAAGGCCAAAAGGCGTCCTCTGGTCTAACACCTTTTGAGACTGGGCTTGATGATTTCTTGTAAAAGGTTTCAGTTTGCTGTTTTTTTTACTTCTTAACACCTGTTGCCAGAAAAAAGGGGAAAACCTATTCTCATATTTTGGTACTGGCAAAGGAGGTCCCATGATAAAATAAGCTACCATTCAGACAAGATGCGTACTTAAACAGTTTCCCACCACGATTATTGTCAAGGTTCAATCTGTGCAAAATTATTGTTAATTTTGCCACTCTTAGTTGCACTCATTGAGACAACAGCTGATTCATATCTAATGAACTAATCTCGTAAATGTTTGGCAATACCTCGGTATGAGTTCACAAGACATCTCTGTAGCAATGTCAAGCTTTGTGTGTGCGTCAGGGTCTGCAGATCAGAGGGGAAACACAACAAAAAACAATCACATTTTCGTAAATGACCACAAAGCTTTAATGTGTATCTTTTAGAGACAGCATGAAATTAGCATTCTGTCTGGGTGCAATGCTATCCGAAGGTCGATATTCAGGCGAGATGGATTTTTTTCCGCGTTTATTTAAGACACCTATAAACAGTAGACGTGGACGAAGGGGTGACTCGAGTGGCCGCAAAAGTTGTGCGGATTTTACGCGGTGACCGCATTATTGTGTCCGGAGATATGGGCGACGCGGGATGCGAGCAGAGGGATGAAAGTTACCGAGGGAAATCGCTGCTTGGAGCCTCCAAACAGAGGGCCCTGGTAGCCGTGGTGGGCTGGCATATGCCCAGACCATGATTGATTTGCACAAGCCTCTTTGTGAATGACTGCAATGAAACTTCTTTATTCTGAAACGTTGCTTGTACACAGTCCAGTATTGTCGAAGAAATTAGGTTACACCAAGGCTATGCTGTGTAAAATTGGTTTTTAAAATGAATATACAAATCTTGACTTAAAGCTTTCGTGACTGCAGGAATTAATATTCTTTGGGTCTTTCGGTAAAGCCACGTAGATATAAAAATAATAAAAAATATCACGACGTTTCGATCGCAACACAAGCAATCGTCATTACTTGTCTCCACCATTGACTCATCCACCTACAAACTGGCCCGATTTCTGTCTGATACCTTACAACCATTCACTGGCAAGACCACCTCAGCTGTACTTAACTCAGCTCACTTGGTATATTTAATGAATGCCATCTCACTATCTCCAGGTGATTTGCTTATCAGTTTGTAAGTATCTTTCGATATAGTATCAAAGTTCCTTTGCCTGACACCATTGCAATCATTGAAGATTTGGTCCAACAAGGACTGAATGCTGATGTACTGGCCCTGGTTAGACGCTGCCTCACCAACACTTACTTCACCTGGAATGGAACATTCTACAAACAAGTTGAAGGTACCCCAGTGCGTTTTCCCTTATCTCTAGTTGTAGCTAATGTTTTCATGGAAAAAATTGAGACAGGCATCTACCCTATGTCCTTCCTTGTGGAAGAGATACGCAGATGACACGTTTGTCATCTGGCGACATGGCCTACCTGCTCTGGGCCAATTCTTCAACCACATCAATTCCATACACCCAGCCATCAAATTCACCATGGAGGTGGAAAAGGATGCCAAGTTACCATTCTTGGATGTTTTAATCGAAAAGAGACCAGATGCCTCAATGGGACACTCTGTCTACAGGAAAGCCACCCATACAGATGCCTACCTAAAACTTGACTCCCACCACCGTCCATCCCAGAAAAATTCCCTCATCAGAACTCTACACCATAGAGCTCGATGTATCTCCGACCATCATCACCTAGCCAGTGAACTGGAGCACGTACACCAAACCCTCAAGATGAATGGATATTCAGACTACACAATCCGTAAAGCTAACACCCCAACCGTTGAGGAGCCATCTGAGGACCCAATTAAAACCATCACCTTGCCATACATAGCAGGGGTTACCAAAAATATTTCCAAAATCATGAGCAAACACAAGATCCAGGTTCGATTCAACACAGTACATAAAATTCGTGATCTGATCCCATCTGTGAAGGATGTGTCCCTGACATGTAATTCCCCGGTGTCTACAAACTAAGCTCTGTCTGCGGCAGTAGTTACATTGGGGAAACTAAGCGACATGTCTCGGACCGTTTTCGTGAACATATTGGCAGATCTGAAACATGGTAGGACCAATACCTCAGCCGTGACTGATCATTGTTTTAATGTGGGCACACACGAAATTAATTTTTCCAAGAAGGTACTCTGCCAACCCACTGGCTATCAGCAAAAAATCGTTCATGAAGCCATCCAGATATATAAACACAGACACAATTTAAACCGAGAAGATGGGTACAAACAGCAATCATTGGAAGGACATCATTAACCAGTTTAAGTCATAACTGGCTGTGAAGTTTCCATCCTACCTGCTGATATTAGCAGTTATTTTTGACTCTCTGAGTCACATTAACAGGCAAAATGTCTAACACAGCCACCGTTGCAGTGGTTTTCTTACATTGACATGCTAATCTCTCACAATACATTGGCCACCTCCACAGCTTCCTCGTCGTGGAGGTAGCTCAACTCCCCGATCTTACATTGACATGCAAATTCCATCTCTAGCCCCGCCCACTTCACTTATGACCCTTGGGCTAAATCCATCTCAAACCTTTATAACATCTTGCCTCAACAGCTCTCCCGCTATATTTTTACCTGCCTCAGCAGCTCTCCCGCGATATTTTTTCACCTGATGACGATTGCTTGTGTTGCGATCGAAACGTCGTGATATTTTTTTTATTATTTTTTCATCTACATGGCTTCACCGAAAGACCCAAAGAATCTGAATATTCAAATGTCATGCCTCTTATCTATGTTTCTTGTAACTTCTTTTGTTTATTTGTTTAAACATTTATTCGCGAAACCACGCGAGAGGGGGAGACATAGTTTAGGGTATCGCCCTCGATTCATTCATTCGAGGGTTGACAGACTCTGGTGAAACCCAGTAGAGAATTCGTTGCGGCATTTTTGTCTGTGGAGGTTTTGCCTTCATTTGTGCCCTTAATGTCGTAATTGAAAGTAATAAATAACCTGCTTCTTGTTTTTTTAGATGCAGTGAAAGCAGCAGCTCTCTATCCCCATGGAACCTCCCTGCCATTATTAATTCATTTTGTTTTAACTGCCCATTTTACCAAGATAAAAGGATCTCTCTTAGAGCAACTAAAGTGATACTTAAATGCATATTGCATACTACGTGCACGCTAAATATACGCGAGCCAAAGTGTGACCATGTGAATGCAAATAATCACTCGATGTAAAATAATAACACGCTTATAAATGTGTGCGTGTGTGGCATCATGGCATCCTAATCGCGATACGCTGCACTGCTGGATGTAACAATTCTCTAGCACGCTGCTAGCGCGAGAGCGGCAGTGCAAGCCGCACGCGGGAGCGTCTGTTCATGCAAAGAGGCACAAAATGGATTTCCGCCGAGCATCCATGATCCCGCTACCAAATTGATCATATTTATCCAATACTGTAAGCAATCTATTTCATTTGATTAACGTATGTTCACTACGGCGTGTCCCTGCTGTATGCACGCAAACGTTTGTTTTTTTTGTTATGGAGCAATAACAAAAGTTATAAATCAAACGACAGAATTCTCAAATCCCGCTGTGTACTTTAAACCATTTGCAGAATGTCCAAAACTATTTTTTTCTGAGTTTCGCACAGCATGTCGTTCTGATTCCAACGTCTTGACCAGCGTTTCAATTGTGCCGAGGCAATGGCAAAATTGTTTTGGCATCTCCGCTGAGATGCATCATGCACGGGCATGAGTGCGATTTTCTCTATTTTTCCCCCTCTTCTTTCCACGGGCATGTGATTAATCAGGGCCTTTATGGGAAACACTTAGATTTCGGTCAGAAAAATAAATGTATTCTATCCATCACGCCTGCCGCAGCAGGGGAGCCTTGATCCATAACTGTGTGTAGCGTCACGCCCTCTATCAAGCAGGCGGCCCGTGTTGGATGCGGCGCCGCGTCGTATTTGGGTATGCAAGCCGGGCCCTCTAATCGTCTACACATTCGGCGTCGTGTGCCTGCGTTTGGCGAGCGTGGTGGTGGCTCTGGGAATTAAGAGGATTGCGCGTTGTGGCAAAAGTCTGCGCGCTTCGATTCCATACCTCTCTCTTTTGATCGGTCCCAAGAACGCCATTAATCACAAGCCACTGTTTTTTTGAAAAAATGTTTTAAAAATCACGTGTGCTTTTCAATGCAAAGCAAGTGGATGTAAAATTGAACAAGGTGTAAATAGTGACATTTTGCAACTGGCACCTAGTTTTAAACTCTGATGTAGTTGTGCTTGTGTAGTTGTGGAATAACAAAAGCCATTTCGTTGTATTTTGTCAATTAAATTTATTTTGTTAACTCTGTTTTCTAACAAGAAATAGATTTGAGTAATATTCGTTTTGCATCACAGACGAAATTATACGATACAAAGTTGAGCATATCACTCTTGGGTCATAAAACAAATGATACATTTTGTTCAAGCGTTAACGCTTGTCTCCGATGGCTAGTAATTATCCTTAAAATGTCACGCCTAATGACACCGCTTTCTGTTCCCTGTAAAAATGGCGTCAAGGTGCCATACCCTGACTCGCCAGCAGAAGCATCGAGTGGACTAATCTCAATCTGTTTCCATCTTTACGGAGATGTAGTGTTGCCAATTCCCGTGTGTCGGGTTTCTCTGGTTGTGCTGGTTTCTTCCCACGTGAATAAACATCTCAAAATAGGACCCTCCTGAAAAAGAATCCGGCGACTCAGTGTTGTTTTCTTGGATTAATAAGTGAAGTAATACATACGTAAAGTATAGAGTGTTCTCTCGCTCTATTGGATAAATGTGCTGCCCTGCAATTGCTTGCTCATACAATTGCTGACGGAAGGACCTCCAGTGTGGTTTCTGTGGATATATAAATAAATTATATAAACTATGTCGCTGTTGAGAACAACATATCTCAAGTTTGAATCATTAATAGTTGATTATTGGGTTAGGCTACGTAATGATCTGGCCACCTTCCGATAGAAGCACAATTCACACATACAAGTGTTTATATACGCCATATATTAGTGCTTTAGCTCACTGGTAAAGAAAAGAACAATACTCACAACCACATTTACCAATTAGCTACGCTATGTTTAAATCCGGACAATATTCAGGAAGTCAAATAAAACATCCAGAAAGTGAGACTTGGTTTTTTTTTTCTGGATTTGAAATTTTCGTGACTGCAAGGATTCATACTCTTTGGTTTTTTCGGTAAAGTCACGTAGGTAAAAAAATAATAATAAATTAAATCACGACGTTTCGGACGCAACACAAGTGTCCTTCTTCAGGTGGGGACGAGTGTGTCGACACACTTAAGCGGTGTG